AAAAAAAAAAAAAAGAATCACTCATAGACTGGTCTGTAAGACAAAACACAAACACAGATAAAATACTTTCAATACATTTGAGAAAAGGATTGGTGTCTCTAATAAATTAAAAATAATAGCAGGGTGTGACAGTGCAATTTCAGCGCTCAGGAAGATGAGGCAGGAGGATTGGCTGGAGTACTAGGCCAGCTTTGGCTACCTAGTGAGTTCCAGTCCAGCCTGAACTACATAGAGAGATCCTATCTTTTTAAAAAAAAGGCCCGGGGATTTAGCTCAGTGCGGCCGCCTGCCTCCCAAAAGAAAAGTCCTTAGTTCGAACCCCAGTACCGCGAAAAAAAAAAAAAAAAAAAAAAAAAGATAACCTGTCCACCGACATAAAAAGAGTACTTTCCCGAATCGTTTTAGATTTTTACAAGCAGGTACCGTTTTTTTTAAAACGCTAATGAAGGAGCTGGGAGGTGGGGAGGTGGTTGGGGCCAGGGATTTAGTTCAGTGGTTCCGCCGCCTGCCTCGAAAGCGCAACGACCGGAGTTCAATCCCCGGTACCAAAAAAAAAAAAAGAAGAAGAAAGAACGAAAGAGCTGGACACGGCTTCTACGGGAGCGGTTCCAGGAAGGACTACGCTTTCCAGGAAGCTCTGCGCCGGCGCGCCCCGCCTCCCGACAGGCCCCGCGCGCTTCCGCGCCAGCTTCAGCCTCAGCTCAAGAGCTCAGGCGGATGGAGAGTGGCGACGAGTCCGCCATGGAAAAACAGCGAGTCCACGTGCGCCCCGCCACGCTGCACGACTCCTCCCCGGCCACGCTGCATCTTCTTCCCTGTGAGGTCCTGGCGAACCGGTTCGCCCCCGTAGGGCGTTTCTTCACGCCTGCCATCCGCCAAGGCGCAGACGGTGAGCCTCGCGGTCTGACCGCGCTCTCGGCAGCCCCTGCGCCCCCTGGGAACGTTCTGGGGCCCTGGTCGCCCCAATGCCCGGTGCCTTTCTTGCAGGCCTCCACGTATCGTTTCGGGGGCGCAGTCTGCGGGGCGAGGAGGTGTCTGTGCCGCCCGGCCTCACAGGATACGTGATGGTGACCGAGAAGAGAGAGGGACTGATAGGGAAGCAGGACTTCAGAGGCTCTGAGAACAATGGCGAAGAAGCGCAGGAGCCGCTGGAGCGGGGTTTCGTGAGCAGAAGGATAGGGTTGGCTAGAGGGCGGGTGGGTGCGGCGGTCCCGACGCTGAGCCAGGCCCCTTCCCCAGGACCAGTTTATTGGAGCCACCGGCAGCTTCAGCTGCTTCACTGTGTGGGGCCTAGAAACTGTCCCTGGCCCGGAGGCTAAAGTGTGGGGGGCTCTAACTTGGCCCACCCTTGCTGCAGCGGTGAGTAGACAAATGGGCGCACCTTCCAGGACTTGTCCTTTCTCCCTCCATCTTTCCCTTAGTGGATTTGGGGCGTTAAGGCTGGGGAGCACAAAGGGGCTGATGGGGCCTGGCTTTGGAGGATCAGGCTGGTATCACGGGAAGCATGGCTTGCCCACCACTCTCCTCTAGCCTTCCTGAAAGGGTCTTGAGCAGCTAGGTCCCTCCCCAGGTATGTGGGCCACCAGCTGTCCACAGCAGAGGTGACTCCTGTTGCAGATTCACGCACAGGTGCCCGAGGACTGAGAACCAGAGAGCTTCGAGTTGAAAACTCGATCATTCAACACCAGTAACCAGCTCTGCACTTTGGAGCCACTGATTCCATCAGCCTAATAAATGAGCTTATCACAGCATCCGTGAGTCTGTGGGCACCTTGGTGCCCTGAAGCTGGTATGGCTCCCTCTCCCACAAGAATCCTTGGTGGCCATGATTTATTGCTGGGAGTAATGGGGGCTAGAGAGGTCAGAACTTTGCAGCCATGCTGGGCGTAGTGGCACACACCTGTAATCCCAACACTTGGGGAGGCTGAGAAAGGATTGCTGGGAGTTTGAGGCCAGCCTGGACTATATAGTGAGACCCTAACTCAAAAACAAACGAAGGGAAAAAAATTGCAGCCAATACCTACCCTACCCCCAGCTTTTACTTTATAAAAGAAATTTTTACAGTCACCAGCCTTCTGTACAGAGCACCCCATCCCCCATCTCACTGTACACAGCTGCCTGGCTCACTCAGTCCCTGGTTCAGAGTGAGCCTGGGCTTGTAGGCAGCTGACCATGGAGCTGGCCTGAGCCCTGAGCCTTCCCTGGCCAGTCCCCTCCTCTGGGAGCTGTCCTCAGCCCTGTCTCCCTTGGTGTGTCTCCTGGGAGCCCCAGGGTGGAGGTGGAGCAGGCTGACAGCCCCGGTTCTGCTGGCTCATGCCGGTTCTGCTGGCTCATGCCGCTGCAATGGGCAGTGCCTGGTCACCACTTTCCTCTCTTGCTCCAGTCCTTGGGAGTGAAGTGCAGACACTTGGAGTCAATTCGAAGGAGTCGCTTGAGCATAGCCCGCTCATGCCCATCCACGATGTCCTCTGACAGAGTGAGGATGTACTGGCCCTGAGAAGGAGACAGGCCAGCCGATTGTCAGAACACACAGGACTGCACTTAGCACCCACTCACCTGTCTCCTCAGCATGCATCCCTACCTTGTAGTAGTTGATGAGGTTGAGGTACTGCAGGGTGGAGATGACATCCTCTTTCTTGATACTGGTAATTTCACTGATCTCGCTGTGGGAGGGGAAAGGTCAGGTCCCTTGAGGGCCTTCACTTGTCCCCAGAACCCCCAGGAACACACAGGCCATGCCATGCACCCCCAGGTAGGTGGAGCCAGGCTCACTTGATAGTGATCTGTGGCCTCTCTCCACTCTCTGACTTCAGCCCCATCAGAATCTCCAGGATGGTCTGGGACCAGTAACTTCTATAGGATAGGAGTCCAAGATCCGAGAGGGGCTTCTCAGGGGTCCCTGTCTTCCCTTCCACCTTGGAGAGTTCATAGCCTAAAGCAATGAAGTAGGAGAGGGTGCATAAGCAGCCACAGGTGCACATAAGCGACATTTATGAACATGGACTGCAGAGCTTGGCTGCCTAGTTCCCAACCTGGCCCTCCCCATTAATAATTCGGTGACCTTGGATATGTGGCTTCTCTGTTCTGCATCTTAGTTTCCTCCTAAAGGTCAATTCATCTGTGTGCCAAGTATGGTAAAGTGCTGAGGGCACTGAGAGAAGCAGCTACAGGAGAGGGTCTGAGAAGGCTCAAGGGCTGCCACAATGAAGAGAAAAGGACCTTGTGCTTTTGAGGCAGGCAGTGGCACTACTGAGCTAAATCTCTGGCCCTACCTTACCCTTTTGCCCAGTCTCCTGTGATTTCAACCAAGCACCTCTTGGAAAGAGGGACAGAGAGAATGTCTGGAGACAGGAAGCAAGAAGGGGGACACATGTGGGATCCTACTCAACTGTTAGGTCATACTACATAGTTCTGATGGACCCCTCAAGGCCATAATTGCCTCCACAGCTACAAGAACTCTAGCCCCATCCTCAGTGAACACCTGCCTACACTGTGAGCTGCCTAGGATGGTGTTCCTGGGAGCCCCACCCACACCCGATCTTCCAGAAGTCTCTTGACTGAGTTTGCTTAAGTATCCACCTACTCTATCAGGCTGTTCCCTAAAGATGTGACTCCATCTTGAGACCGTTCAACCAATAAAATTTCTCAGATGGATTGTGACCTTGGTCAGATCAAGCATCTGTGTCTTTAGCAAGCAAACAGGCAAAGCCTCTTCCTTTTCCCCCAGGTACAGCTTGGCTATGCCAAGGATTCAGAGAGCAGTGAAGGGAATGGGGATGGGAGAAAAGTGAGGAAGCAGAAAGTAGTCTTAGGTTTGGGGCCTTCGGAGAGCCCATGCAATAAGAAGCGACAGAGGGGCTTCTGGACTTTTAAGGGACTGATCTGACAAAATAAAGGAGTAGGAAACCTGGGAATGATGGTGCATTCTTCTAATCCTACTTTGGTAGGCTGAGATGGGAGAATCATTAACACAAGCCCAGCCTGGACAACTTGTGAGGCCATCCCAAAATTTAAAAGATTTTAAAAGGCTGGGGATACAGTAAAAAGGCCCTGGGTTCAGTCCCAAGTACCACCAAAAAAAAAAAAGAAGGGAGTGGGAATAAAGGAGCAGTCTATGTGGTAACCTAACATTTTTGATCATCTACTGCCTGCAAGGCTCAGGAGACACTTGGGGACATTATTATCACTGGCCCTTATGCAAGAACTTGTATCAAGGCATAGGCCCAGACTGACTTTTTTTCCTTTGGTAGCTGGAATCAAACTAGGGTCCTTGTGCTTGGGAGGCAGGCAGTGGAACCACTGAGCTAAATCCCCAGCACTCCCCCAGAATGATGAATAGGAATTCTCTTAAGGTGCCCAGGGCTCCAGGCAGGAGCAGGTAAGTCAGACTTGGGCAAAGTTGGATAATACTTAGAACCCTGACCAAGGGATAATAGGGCGTGAGAACCTACTCCGGAAAGCAGGGTGGTCATCCTGAGAAGGGAGAGGACCTTGATAAAAGTCCCACCTTTATTACCAGCTGGCTCCCCTAGTGACCTATGTGTGGGGTGCTGATGGGTGACCTGGGTCTGCCAGTCTGCCAGCACCTGGCCGGGCAGCACATACTCACTGAACTCAATGAGCAGCTTGCCATAGCCTCGGCGCTGGTAGGGAGGCAGCGTCAGGATGCAGGCCACGTTGTAGTCTTCTGTGGACTCCTTTTCCTGGAAGAGGGGCAGATGAGTGTGAGAGAGGGGCCTGGCTTAGGGTGGGCCAAAGGACAGTCGGGTGAGCACTGACCTTCGAGAAGTAGCCCACAATGTGGAAGCCCTTGCAGTCATATTCCGTCATGACATAGAAGAGGAAGGGGTCTGTATCATAGTACAAGGTCTTGTGGTCGAGGAAACACTTGGCCAAAAGACACAGATTCTGGGAGTAACTCTGCAAAGGAAAAGGCTGTTAGTATTCTGGGGAGCTTTGTGTTCCAGGTGGGTAAGTGATTAGCATTGGTCCCTGGCATCATGGTACTTTGGCTCCAAACCAAATACTACCTGTCGTCTTAGTAATCTGGACAGCTTTCCTCCGCACCCCCACAGAGCTGCCTAAGCCTGGCCCACAGGCTTCTACCACCCTCTGCCTAGATTTAATGTCAGTCAACAATAACATGTCCCCATGAAGTCAGACTCCAGCAAGGGCTCATCAGAAGCTTTGCCTATGTGGCAGTCTTGGGAGTCTGGCTGTCAAACCCTAACAACTCTAGTCTGAAGCCACACCTCTTAGGAACTGAAGTACTATACTATGGTAGATGTAAGAAATTCTGGAATTTAAAATAACATCCTGAGCCCCAGCCCTCAACAAACTTATGAATCTTACTACTTCACCTCCATATAAAATTTCCATAGAATTTCAAACAGCTCTTTAACCACATGCCGAGCACAACCACTTGGATACCCAGACCCACACACCAACAGACTAGCTCCTTTCTCCCCATCTCCCTAGGCCCAGGCCACAGCTTCCCGTCAAAGGGCTTCCTTCTCCCTCAATGCCCTCTTGGCCCCAGAACAGAGGAGTCTCACTCAAAGGTCTCTAGGTTTCTCCTTTCTCCCCACTGGCACAAATCCAAACCTATGTCTTCCCCTCCTCACTAACCTTATTCTGGTTACCTGAATTCTGTTCCTTGTAACAACCTTCCTTATCCTTTCTCCTTGGCCTTTTGACCAGTGACTTTTACCTTTCACACTAACTCTATAGGTCTTTGTCAAGGCTCAGAGGTCACCTCTGTGAAGATTTGATGACTACTTCCTTTTTGGACCTTGCCAACCCACCTTTGTTTCATGAAACTTATCACACTCAGATCTGAGTAGCTGCTGGCATGTGCCTCCCTGCCATGGACCACAAGCTCTCAGAACATATCCTAGTTCCTGGTCCTGTGTATATCCCCCAGCACCTGCCCTGCAGCAGGAATTCAATAAAAACAGCCTACACAGATCTGCTTTTCAGACTGGTCAGTTTTCCAGAGCAGGAAGAAGCTTGACTTACCCCAGGCCCCACTGCCCCTCGGCCACTAACCTTGTTCTTTCGTCCATCGATCTCAAAGAATGAGATGGTGCCCTTACGGTAAATCTCATTGCCTGGTGGGTGCCGCAGGTCACACTTGGTCTGAGAAAGAAAGGAGGATCAAAGGTGAGGGCAGGTTTTGGGGTGCTGGGAGAGCAGCCTCCCAGTACCACTCATACCAAGTGACGCTGCAGACACTTCAGGCTACGGCCATACTTGAGGCAGAACTCGCATAGGTAGAGGACGGGCAGCGTGGTGAGCTCCTGTGGGTATGGGGAGAAGTACCACGGCTTGAGGCGATGCCTGCCCAGCTCGATGCATTCAATGTTCTTCATCCGGGTGACAATGTCGTCGTGACTCCTGTCAGATACTAAGCTGCCAGTCATGCGCGGTGCTGATGGTATTCCATCTGAGCTGTCCTGGGAATCCTGCTCAGGATCAGTGGAAGACACCAGATTACAGGGGGACAGCTCAGCAGGACACTGAAGCTCACAGCCCTGCCAGTTTTCCTCTTTCAAGCATAATGGAAACTGTGGGAAAAGTACCATAATCCCCACTTTCAAAAATAAAGAAACCAAAACACTGGAGAAACTGTTACCTTGGAAAAGATCATCCAGTGACTAATCTGAACCACGTTCCACTTGGCTCCTACTTCACCAACTCCACCACTCCCTGTTTACTTTAAACTAGGTGCTCACCAAACCCTCCACCCCACC